TGGACAATTTACAACTATAACAATAAACCGCAAGGCTCGAATAATCGTATCTCCTCTCCCGAAATTGCCCATTTTTGTGCGCAATCCGGGCGTCAATTAGAGAGACATTAACTGTATTTCTGCGCGGCGATAATTTCGTTCCAACCGTGATTTGCGAACGCGCGTTATCGTGTCCTTTACAGTAATGCCAGAAACACCGACATCTTCGCGAGTTGGCGCGCGAAGACGAATCGCTTAGCTGACGCGAATCCGCTACGGCGATGTCCGATAAATGCGGGTCCTTTATTGAACGATTCGGTGACATCGTTTCTGTATTCGCAGCAACGATCCCACGATTATCTCTTATTAACCGTTCGAGTCCAGAGCAGCGCAACCGCGCCGTTGAGATTTTCTGTCGAGAAAACCCAGCGCATTTCGAACATCGTGGACAACCGACGGTGCGTTACCGATTGTCGAAGCGCGCTCGGATTTACCGAAGCAAGCACATCGCACAGCTCCTTTTAATGCAAATAGTACATTTTACAATAGGTAGAATAATACTGTAATAATGCAATAATACGTTACAAAATAAAATTGTTTAATTCATTATTATCGCGCCGCTTGGTATTTCTCGACATAAAATAAAACAAGCGCTATCGCGCTGCTTGGGTCTTTTCGTACTCGTTTAGAGAAAACGCGGTTGCGCTGTTTGCGATTCTTCGACAGTGTTTTTTCAATACCCCCTGGGACTCAAACGGTTGAATTCATCGTTCAACCGTAAACTTCGTGAAATGGCACAAGGCCCGGCGCAAGGTCCCAACCGCAAGCGGAAGGATATTTTAACCCCTTGCGCACCGACGCCCGCTTTTAGGCGACTAAACCGACCGCAATTATACGGTTATTATACTTGCAGAATTAAGCATTTTCGTTCCGCAAAAACTGCACCGATAATGATCTTTTCAGGTATTTTGTTCGAAACTGCCGAGCACCGAAAGTAATCAATGTAATCGATTATGACTACGGTGAACTTGTTATTATCACCTTTCGCCGCTTTTAACCCTTT